CCTGGAAGTAGAAGACACTCCCTCTTCAGCGGTTTAAAAGAGGCTTCTGTAACTCAAGTCAAAGCAGTTTTACTTTGTGAGAATCAGGTCTCATTGGGCGAGAAACACTTTTGTCAGACTCCTCATAGCCTCTGGGGACCAGGAGCATAAAGATCACCTCATAGGCCGCAGAGTAGGGAAGAATATGGAATGTGTGACAGCAGATTTATCTCCCAAAGGGAGGTGCAACCCCTTCATCTGGGAGGAAAGGTACTCACATGAGATTGGCAAAGGTTTAGAAGCTCTAAGCCTCTGAGAAGGAGCTCAGTGCATCCGTCTCCCCAGACCGTGTGAGAGAGGACAGGCAGGACAGTAGAAATCTGACTCACGCGAACTTCCCAGGTAACAGCTCAGAGAAGGCGAGCGTGCCAGAGAGGGCCATCTGTGCCTATGTGTGCTTGTGCACAGGTGTGCATGTTGGGGACAGCACCTGCAGCCCTCCACAGGCAGCGGGGCCGCGTGTTTGCTTTATCTTTGCTCACCTGAGTCACAGTCTATAAGCTTCCAACCTCTAACAGCAGCCCCAGGGCTCCCCAAAGCCTTATGGGCTCTGGAATTTCCGCACCGCCGAAGCTGTCAGCTCCCCAGGCGTGGGTGTTAGAGCAAGCTCCTCCTGTTACTCAATTCCCACCTCTCACTATTAAGCAGGGGCTCCTTGAGGAAGATTGATTTACCACTTTAAACGAGCCTCGATGTGCTCGATGAGGACGCCACAAGACAAACGGCTCCTGCCATGTGCCTCCAGCCTGCTGCCCCATGTTTCCATTACGTTTGGGCCAGAGTCATGGTGGATGAGTTTGGGTGTAGTTCATTTACTGCCTTACATGATAAGCTTGTCAGCATTTGACCGATCCGCTACTTATATGCAGGGAGTTCATTTGCAAGGCCACCTGGCTTCCAGCTTTGCTGTCCTTCCCCCACTTCACTCTATCTAACGAGCCAGGACCTGGTTCCCGTTGGGTGGTGCTGAGCTCCTGGGCTCTGCACAGCCTGCGTGTGATGCCAAGGCCTCAGCCCCTCCTCGGGGATCCCTCTCTCTGGCCTGGAGGTAGCAGGGCACTGATGCCCAGGGAGCTATCTTTTCTTGCTCCCAGCTTTGCATGGCTCAGCAGGGAAGGAGCATGCCAAGCTCCGCTCTCCTGCCCGGAGGCTGCATCAGGCCCGCTCCCAGCCTCCTGGTTGGACCGGCTTGCTGTAGGCTTCCTAGGGAGCCGTAATCTGCTCACTCAACACTGGCCTCGGGGCTGTTCCTAAGGAAAGCCTGGTGAAGGCAACTGCTGAGCCAGGGCTCTTGGAGCTCACCAAGGCATGGCCAGCAGGATCAAGGTGTTCAGGCTGCCCATGACCCCTGGACTGGCATCCAGGACATGCCTTCCCCAAGCTGCCGAGTATCCTAGACTCTGCTCAGACCACATCAAGCTCTGTCCGAGATCCTTCGGTGACTCCCTGTTGTTGCTGGATGATGTCACTGCACTGAGCCTGGCATGCAGAGCCCTTGATGGGGAACCTGGCTTTGCAATTGGATGCCTGGGATCAAACCGCTCCCCCACTTACTGGATGGTTATTATCATTCCCTGTTTATAACTGCAGCCTTGTAAATGGCCTCACCTGAACATGAGGCATGATAATGATGCCTATCGCATATGCATCAATATGCATGCTTAGATTGATATCAGGCACATAGTAGGTGCTCAGCAAAGGTTGGCTAATAGCATCACATCATTGTGTTCTTCCAGCCTCCCCTAAATCTTGCATGCCGTCACTCACGAGCTGTAAGTGAAGCTCCACCTACAAGCCTCCCCACCCCCGCACTGTTGTATCCCTCCTTGCATGCCTCTCCCTTCCTCTCTGCTGATCTGAACCTGACCCAGGCCTGGCCAAGGCCTCCCCATTCCCTGAAGGTGCTGGCTAGCCTGGGAGCCTGAGAGGCCCCTGGCACAGCACACAGTGCAGGGCTGAGCATCACGGCCATCTGCAGGGTCACCTACTGGAAGGGAGAGGGGCAGAGCAGGGGGCCTTGCAGGGGGGAGAAATTCCTACGCTATCCCAGCTTCACATCCTGCCCCATTCCCCCACCACACCATGATGCTCGATGCTGCAGAGGTTGTGGATTTTTGTTCCTCAGAAGGACATGGGCCTTTCCCATTAGCCAATGGGCACCTCCAGGCCCCCTCTCTGAGCTGGGTGCGCAGATCCCGCCCCACCTGGGCCAGGCCAAGGGAAGCACACTGAAGTCCATCACCAACCATGGACACTTTCCCGTACCCAGCCTGTGCTCGGGACCCCGGCCCCGCCCTCGGCAAGCTCACAGACCTCTGGGAGGGCACCAGATCGGGGCTCCAAGGTCTGTAGGTGCTGGACGGGCAGTGACTGCCCGAAGCATGTGGGTCAGGGACAGTTGTGGGGTCACTCACTGTGCAGTATGGGGTGGTGGTTATAGAGGGGCAGGTCCAGCCCTGGGCTCGGGCACTGTGTGAGGCTGGCCCGATGGACACAGTGAGGTTCCACATCTGCGCTGAGCAGGCAGCAGAGGTGGCGAGCTCTGGGTGTCAGAGTCCTCCAGGGCAGGACCGGCTCGGCTAGAGGATTACGGGGTTTGGGGAGGGCTTTGACGGGCGGAGTAGGAGAAGGGGCCCTGTCCTGGGAACAGGAGATGGCACGTGCACAGGTGTCAGAGGGCAGCAGGAGATGGCACGTGCACAGGTGTCAGAGGGCAGCAGGAGGCTGTGAGGCCCAGGCAGGGATGCGGGGAGGTTGAGAGGTGACCTGAGGGGCAGCAGAGGTGAGTCGTGGAGCCCAGGGTGTCGTGTTTAGAAGCTTGGATTCTCCCTTGTGGGCAGAAGGAGCTGCTCCGATGTGGTGGCTGCGCCACACTTACGGAGCTTAGAGGAAGGGGACTGACTCTCACGTACCTCAGATCCTCAGGGCGCAGTCAAAGCCTGATACTGATCAGACTGAGGCAGGAAAGCCCCAGAGGCCATGCAGAAGTAAGAGTCACCCTGGCTTCCTAGGGACCTGGAGGGGTCCTGAAAGCACAGGGCTCCCCAAAGCCTCCTTCTAGATAAGAAGGAGGAACAGATGTCCCAAGCTGGGCTGGCCTCCCAGAGTAGGCCTGCTGTGGGAGACACCTCCTGCCCCCAGGATTTGCAAAAAGTATGAGGAAGGGAATGGATGGGGACCGGGCATTCCTTTCGGGCAAGGGCGCCTGTAGATGCGTCTTGTGGACCTGAAGAAATCACCTGGGTGGAGCAGAGACCAGCGCAGGTGGCCTTACCATCTGCATACCCAGCAGGTGTTGATGAGACACATGGAAGCATCTTGGGGATTGACTGACACACTGGGAAGGGGGCTGTCCACGTGCCTCAGGAAGGCAACGGGGGGGCACAAGCTCTGGCCATTACACTTGTGTCTCCGGCAGCAGGACGGAGGAGGGTGGAAAGGACAAAACACGTGCTAGTTATCCTTAAGGAGGTTCCCCATACGCTGTCATACAGTTTCTAGATCTTATTGGCAGAATTTAGACGCCTGGTTACCCCTGGCTGTAAGGGAGGCTGGGAAATACAGCTTTAGTTTGTTGTCCCTGTACCAGGCTAAAACCAGGGCCCTTGTGAGCAAGGGGAGAAAGGAGCTAGAGCATGCAGCTGGCAGTCTCCACCCTTCGCCTGCAAACACCATGCACCGCGTCTTCCCATGCACAGGACACTCTCACCCCTGCCCCGGGCTGGGGAGAAATCTGTGCCTCACCTCGTCATAGCATCCAGCCCAGAGGTCAGGATCTCTGGGCCTTGTGCAGCCATCACTGTTGCGTCATGATGTGACTCCTTGGAATTTTAAGCCAAAACATTAAACTTTGGTTTTGGTTGACTATTTAACTTTTGGTGAACTTTAAACCAAAAGGCAGGCTATCTACTGCTACACCCAGTGTCAGAGGGTGGGGAAAGCACACGTCTGCACGATAGAGACTCCTGTTTGGAAGAAGGGGACACACAGCAGGAACAGCCCTGGCCTGGATCAGGTCCCACGGGGCGGGCTTTGTGAACCTCCCCATGCCTGGTGGAGAAGCTGCCCAGGGCAGCCCACCTGGCTGGCAGCTCTGTTCTCCAGGAAGAACATGCATGTCCCCCATGGAGAAGTCAGGTCCTCTGCCTGACTCCCCCGCTCCCCCTCCAGAAAAGCTGTGCTTGTCTGTATCCCCCAGTGCTACCGGGCAGGGGGTGGGGGAGTTCCCTTTCCAAGCCCCCTTCCTGTAGAAGAAGGTCCCAGAGCCTGGGAATTGTCAGGGGCTATACATGAGAAACAGCTGCGGTCCAGCCTGGGCTCCCCTGGTGACCCGCCTCCTGCCCTAAGTGGCTGTTAGTCTTGGTCCCGATGAGTCCATGTGCCTGAAACGGCCCCTGTGAGCTCGACCCCATACGCCTGCAGCTCCGCCTCTGAGCCAACGGCTTGCGGGCAGGGGCGAGTAACACACTTTTTGCAGATTTTCATAGGAAATTGCCTAACTTTACAATTTCAACAGCTAATTTAAATGTTTGAAAATCATAGTTCAGGACAAATAAACATTCCTACCCATAGGCGTGGCTCGCGCGTGCCACAGTGCACGGTGCTGCTGGGCGGCGGAAGGGGCCCTCTGCTAGCGTGGGCCAGCCTCAGGGTCCCAGCACCCGCTTCGCCCTGGCAGGAAGGCTCAGTGGCTCACACATCCGGGGCAGCAGCGGCTGTAGCTGGAGGCAGGACTCTCGGAGGGACGCTGGGAGTGAGCCGGGCCACGGGGGCAGGACGCAGGTTCAGGGCAGCCTGGCCAACTTCACTGCCCGCCACCGCGGGTCAGCGCTGCCTCCAGATCTGAGTCCTGGTGCGTGTTCCTGGAAAACAGGGCTGCCCTGCCGTGCGGGGGGCTCTGCAGAGGGGACCCCAGGCCCGGAGCGGAACAGGTGCTAAGGCCATGCTCGCCTGCTCTGCAGACTCCACCAACCGGGACTCGCTGGACATGATCGAGCGCTGCATCTGCCTCGTGTGCCTGGATGCGCCAGGCGGCCTGGAGCCCAGCGACACCAACAGGGCGCTCCAGCTCCTTCACGGCGGAGGCTGCGGCAAGAACGGGGCAAACCGCTGGTACGACAAGTCCCTGCAGGTAAGCCCCACTTCGCTGGCCCTGCAAGAGCCCGGCCGCGCACTGAGCGCGCGAGCGAGTGGCCCAGTCCAGCGCCCAGAGCCGGCACGCGCTGGACGCCGCGCTGGTGCGGGACAGGGGGCGGGTGCTGTCGGTGTCGACCTCCCGACTGGCCAGCGTTCTTCTCAGGAGCACGTGGCCAGACCCGGCTCAAACTCCCGGAGCTCCCTGCAGCCTGTGCCAGGAAGGTCTGGGTCACACCGCGCGGTGGGGCCCTGCCGGGGGCAGGAGAGCAACCGCCGCCGAGCGCGCCCTGAGCGCGTTGGGCAGGAAGGTGTGTGGCGCCAAGGCTGCCAGCTGTTCTCGTGTCCACCGCTCTCAACCCCCGAGGGGAGGCCAGCTTCCCCACAGGAGAAAAGTCCTAAAATGAAATAATTCGTATTTTTGCATTCATACAACAGAAGCCTAGAAACAAGACATTTCTTTGGTCTAGAGAAAGATACCCATGCAGACGGCGTGACGTCTGGGCAGGGCCGTTCATTTCCACTCCTCCATCCTTTACCCCCAACATGCCCATCCCCAATCCAGTCTTGTTTAGTTTTAAAGCCACCACGCATCCACGATGACCATGTAAAAGGCAGCAAACCGTCTCTCCGCGTCGGGTTAGCTTAGCTCACGTTGGTGAGCACGTCTAGGCAACACCTCATTGTCCTCCGCTCTGTCCCCGGTTCTACAGGTTCCCTTTGTGTTGGTTTGCATATTGATTCTGCTGCTTCTGATGAGCTCTCTTGCTGCTGTGCCAGCTGCTTTAGCCTCCACAGTGGTGCCAGTGGCTTGCCATCCTTCACGGAGCAGCTGTGGGGGTTCGTGACTTAATGGATGCGCAGGACCTGGGGCAAAGGGAGCCTGGGTGGCAGTTCCTGAAAGACGCCACCTCCCGCCCTTCCTTTAGAGACGGGGACAGAAAGGCAGGAGCGTGGGAGTGGGTGCGTCGCCTCATCTCCGGTGGGCGAGGCTGTACCGTCCGGGCTCTTTTCGTGGGCGGCACAGATGATCCGGGAGCTGAGCTGGAGAAGCCGGCGAGGCTCCGTGGACCTGAATTCGAGGGGATGGAGAGCTTGTCTCGGGACAGAAAAGCAGAGCCGCTGGGGAGAGGGAGAGCCTGGAAGGGATGGGTTTGGGAGAAGCTCTGTGGGAAGTTTGTCGTCTGAAGAGCGGGAGTAAAGATCCAGCCCTGCACACGGCGACGTGAGGGACGGGAGGACACGGAGAGCAGCTCGCGGCGTGTGGGCGGCGCAGTGAAGACTGCGAGGGCCGCTTGGCTGGTTTTGTTTGTTTGCGGATGGAGGACGAGGGTCTCCTGAGTGTGATGAGCTGCAAGGCGGCTCTGCTTTACTTGGGTTACACTTTAAGAACCAAACCTTGTCCTTCTCTTTATTTTCTCCCAGTACTTTCGTGGCCTGTGGATGTTCCTTTTCCAAGTCAGCTCAATACAGTCATTTAGAAAAGTCATGAGTGATCTCTGCTGGGCTTGTGGCTCCTTCCTACACTTCCCCTCTTTTCCTCGTCTCGACTGTGAGCTGGGCCCTACCGGCCCATTTTCAGTGACAGCAGACGGAAGTCCCGAGAGCCGAAGTGTCTCCTCGAGGCTCTCCAGTGCCCCGCAGCAGCACAACTGGGGTGCGGGTCCCTGACTCAAAGCCCAGGCGGCAACTCTCAGAGCACCTTTTATGCACCTCTCCTTTACGCCTTGGAGGGATATTTTATTTCTCCCCAGGGGTCTGCTTACCATCCAACTCAGATCATCGTCTTTCATTTTCACTCGTTCAGCAAAATTATCGAGCATCTACTGCAGAGTGGACTCCGGTCTAGCTCCTGGGAATAAAACCAGTGGCATTGAAACAAATAGGGTCCCCCAGATGAACTGTCACGCAAGCACTGCAGGACGATGGCTGCGATGTGCAGCAGGAAGGGGAACCAGGGCTGAGAGAGGCTGGAGGGGCTTGCCCGTGCCCCGAGGACACCGTGTGGACTCGGTGTGAGCTCAAAGAATCCCTGCGCTGCTTCAGCCAGGGACCGTGGGGCTCCTCCCGCACTGCCCAGAGCCCGCGTGGGAAGGTCACACAGTTCAGAGCTGTCTTGAGACTCTCATATTCTCAGGCCACCACAATCATTGTTCAGCGTTCTCTTTGGGAAATGATGTGTGTGGGTGTCCTTGGAGTGGGGTGCCCCTGAGAAGCTGGGGGGCCTGAGCTGGAGCCAAGGGGCTGGCTTGAAATGCTGGCTGTCTCAGGGTCTGCCCACTCCCTCTTCCCCTTGCAGTTCGTGGTGGGCCGAGACGGCACCTGCGGCGTGGTGTGCGAACACTCCCCGTTCGATGGCATCGTCCTGGTGCAGTGCACGGAGCACCTGCTCAAGCACATGTGAGTCTGGGGGTGGGGCAGGCTGCCAGGGCCGGGAAGAATGGGGGCGGCCGCTGGGGGGCTTGGTCTGCAAAGTGTCTTAGCGAAGGGTGGATTGGAAACACAGCTAGAATGAGACTTCATGTGCTCCAGGGCCATGGATAGGAGGTGCAGACCTTAGCGCCATCAGGGAGAGGCGTGGTGAGGAATTCGCAGGAGCCTCTGCCGTGAGCAGAGAGGAAGCCCAGGTCAATACCTGTCACTTGTCCTGAGCCAGAGCTGGGCCAAGTGCTGACCTGGCACAGAGGGTCCCCTGGGCTGGGTCCCTCTCCAGCTTCCGAGCTGGCCAGACTGAGGCTTCTCTGGGCCTTACACACACAGTGCTCTTCCTCCACTCACAAATTTGCCCCTTCCCCCCGAGGGTCTTCTCCTTGCACCGACGTCCTCGATCTCTTCCACGGAACTCTTCGGGGCCACTGAAATGCAAGGCAAGCCCAGTGGGCAGACAGCCCTGGTAGACAGAGCACGGCTTGCTCTTAAGTGTCTTTCCGAGTGTTATGTAAGTGTTAATGGTGTCGTGTGATCTAACAGGACAAAAATGAAAAGAAATAATGGTCTTTGGAGTCAGGAGGAACTGGGTGGAAGCCTGGCTCTGCCACCTACTAATATTGGTGGCTTCTCTGAGCCTCGGTTTATTCTGCTGTGCCGTGGTTCAGGGGCAGCTCGTGTCCCTGAAACTGCCTGGCCACACACACCAACAGCTCAGGTGACGGCAGGGGGCAAAGATCCGTGCAGCCCCGTGGCTCTCCAGTGGCAGGGCCTCAGGAGGTCGCCTCTCTGCCTGCAGGATGAACAGCGACAAGAAGCTGGTCCGAGCGGACTCCGTCAGCGAGCTCCCAGCCCCTCGCAGGCTGAGGTGGAAATGCTCCCCAGAAATTCAAGGCCACTTGGCTTCTTCCGCAGAAAAACTTCAACGGTAAGGAGAGGCCAAAGTCTCCTTCGAGATGGTCCTCTGGGGGCCACCTGCCCCCCAACCCCAGCTGCTTGGGCACCCTGGAAGTTTCCAAAGACCCAGCTCCACTGCTGTCCTCATGGAAATGTAGTCAAACTACAAAGGAGTTATAACTCTCGGGGAAATAACCTTGCTGAAGTATCCATTATTTCCATAAAATGCAAACGTGGGGCTATTTTTTTTTGGCAGGTTTCACCTGACTGAGCAGAGTCAAGCTGAGAAATCACCCCCTGCTTTCAGGGAGTAATAAACGACTGTTTTGAATAGGTCATTTGAATCCAGGCTATTTCAATTTGCTTGAATTTACACTGCAACTTGACAAGGGGCCATTTGGACCCAAGGGGAAGGGGATCGTTGAGGCCCTCACGGGATCCAGGCAGGGGATGGGTGTGAGCCCGTCTGGGGGGCTAGGTGCTGGGGCAGTAGCCAGCTGTGCTGGCAGCTTTGGGCTGGCAACCAGGTCTGTTCATTCCCTCATTCAGTAAGTGAGCATGAATGCATTCATTCATTCATTCATTCATCAAACACATGCCAGGCCTCACAGAAATTTATGTGCCGTGGGGCCATCGCTCCACACTTTAGTGGAGGAAGTAGACCCCAGACCAAAGCATGTGTGGCACGATAAGATTAGTGCCGAAACCAAAGAAAGCCATGCAGATCTGAACCCACAAAGAGACAGGAGCTTTAACTCGGCCAGCATAGTGAGGGCGGGGTTTCCAGAGACGGGCCTCGGAGGGTGGATAGGCGTTCACGGTGCAGGCAGAAGGGAACGAGGCAGAAAGCAGCTTGTTCAAATCTGTACAGGTTCGTAATGACCCAGGCTGGTTTGGAGACCAGCAAGTGAGAGAATGGCCAGAGTCGGGGCACAAAAGGGAAGCGGGGGCCACACTGTAAAGAGCTTCGCTGTCCTGTCGTGGAGCCTGCAGAGCTGCCTGCTGGTGGCGAAGAGCCCTGGGCGATTCTGTGCCAGGGCTTGGGGAACAGCGCGGGTGAGGGACAGAGTATGGCCAGGCCGGGAGGCCGGGGGTGGAGAGGACCCCTCCCCAGACAGCTGCTGGGGAGGGGGAAGCCTCGGGTTGCTACGGAGTGATGCTCACGCTGAGACTTCACAGCGTTGCTCGGGGTGAGGCGGCTGCCAGAGGAGCGAGTCGGGGGCCGGGAGGCCCGGGGAGAGGAAGGAGCCCGCTCACTGTAGAGGACCTGGGCAGACCCCGTGTGTTCTGAGGATAAGAGGAGCCCAAGAGGCCTGCAGGGGGGGACGCAGGAGGAGCCTCGGGGGTCCTGAGCGGCTGGGGAAAGGGGGTCTGAGCGGACACAGCTGGGAAGAGATCTCCAAGGGCTGTAGTGACAGTGAGCTCAGTCTGTCCGAGGACTGTGTCAACAGGTGGGAAGAGGGGCAAGTTCCTGTGGGAACTGGGCCCCCTCCAAGCGCCCCTGGGTCCCCAGCACCTGGCATGGCCCCCGAGAGCTGAGCCCCTGTAGGCAGGAGGAGTGATTCAAGGAGGGGCAGGCGGGACGCACGGAGTCCCGAGGGAAGCGGGAGTCAGGCGTCCCCCCAGGACCCTGTGCTCACACACGACTGGTGGGCAGGACCTTGCTGGACACTGCTCCAGTGGGCAGCCGGCCTGGACCCCAGACTCATTTCGAAGGAGGAGATCCGTCAGCGTGGAGTGGCCAGTGCCCAAGAGCCTAGGTGTAGACTCGGGGGGTTGTCCTGTTGCTCCGACTATGACGAAGGCCCGGGCCTGTCACCGGACACTCAGCAGCAGTTTCTGGGTAAAATGGGTTTCTGGCCACTAGCAAAGCCCCAGATGATCCACCCTCGCTGTGGTGATGGTGACAAGTGGCCAGAACCCAGGCCCTTCCTCCCCCAGCGCTGCAGAGATGTCTCGGGAGGAGATGCCGCTGTGGCCACCTGAGCAACGAGCTCCACCGGGAGGGCCAGATGCCAAGGGACACGGTGGGGAGGCCGCACACCTTCGCAGACGGGCTGGATCAGGGCCTCTGTCGGGCCTGCTTCCGGGCAGTGGGCTCGCAGGGTTCTGTTTGCGGGCAGTGTTCTCCGTGTCCTCCGTGCCAATGCGAATGTCTCTCCCCTGCCCGCTGTGCCCTTCCCTGCCCCTCACTGCTGCAGCCAGGCTCACCTCCTCACCCACCTTCAGCACAGAGCGGCCCTGGTCTGGCGTGCCTCCTGCCACTGCGATAGGTCAAGACATGTCTCTGACGCCACGGCGCACTCCTGGGGGGCAGGGACACAGACCCGCCCCGGGAACCCGGGTGGGCTCTGTGGTGCTTGCATTCTGTTTCGCATGCAATAAAAGCATCTTTTTTTTCCTCCCACAGAATAGTAAAGAATCTTGACTTCACTGTTTATAAGTTTGACAACTACGGGAAAACATTCATTAAGAAGCAGAAATGCAGCCCCGACGCCTTCATCCAGGTGGCTCTCCAGCTGGCATTCTACAGGTGAGCGAAGGTGGGTGGGGCCGGTTGGCAGGGTGCTCTAGATTACAGGGCTCAGACGCGTCCTGGGGGGAAGGCGGCCTTCAGTGGACCTAGAGGACTGGGGGATGACCAAGGCAGGCTGTGTGGAAGTAGGTGCCGCCTGAACTGGGTTTCAAGTATAAATCCAACCCCAGAAAAGAGAAGGAAGGACGTGGCCTCATGGAACTTGCTGGGCAACGGTCCAGGGGCACAGAGCTCCAAGGGGCTGCAGCGCAGAGCTGAGGGGATGAGGACCTCGAGGGGGAGGAGGCTGCTCTTCCTCCCGCCTGAGCCCTGTGGCTGTAGCCTGTTCCTCCCCAGCCTTCCCCACTTGCTAAGGAAATGGGACCAGGTCAAAAATTTTGGACTCCTCCTGACTCACCCCTTCCTCTCATCCCCCAGCCTCCATGTCAGCCCTCCCCCAGGGGTCTCTTGACCCTGTCCCCTGCCCTCCACCTCCACTGCCATCGGCCCCTCCCCAGGCCGCCTCATCTCATGCTCGGGCAACCACAGCACACTCCCAGGGTGTCCCCTCGTAGTGTCTAGTGTGGGGACCAGATGTCAGGTCCATGTTCCCTGGTTCTTGGCTCCCAGCACCAAAGAATGGTCACTGGTTCCAAGTCGATGGAGCAAAGTGCCCAAGTTTATTAAAGCATGGTCCATTCTGGAGAAGGAATGGGTCAACCTCTGCGAGTGGAGGAGACCCTGAGTTTAACGAGATTTTCCCTTTTATGCTGATTCTCTAATTTTATGTTAAGTGGGGGGCGGAATATTCATGGTTTTTCTTGGAAAGGGGTGGAGAATTCCCAGAACTGGGAACTTTTAACCTTGTAAGGCAATTTCCAGGGGTTGCCATGGTATTTGTAAACTGTCACGGTGCAGGTGGGTGTGATTTTTACCATGTTAATGAAGGTAGGTCACTTGAGGATACTGTCACCTTACTTGTGGGGATTCTCCAAAGACACTCTTGTGGCCTTGTGTATATCTCCACTTTGTGTCCTTTCTACCCCTTTCTGGTTGGTCAGTCCTTGGGGACCCGCCATTGTAGACCAAACATCTGTCGCCTCCTTGGAAGGCCCATTGACATGTCATCTGTTCCTTCTGGGAAGCCCCCTCTGGTCAATTTGTTCCTCCCATTGTAGACAAAGCATCTCCTAGTGCCATCTATTTCTCAGTGGAACCCCCCTAGACAAAGCATCTGTTCCCTTTCCTCCTTGTCCCAACCTAACAATAACCCAGGAAGCGTGAACTTTGAAACATGCAAATCAGAGGAGCTCGCTCACCAGGGGGAAAGCTCCCGTGGCTTCCCACCAAGCTCTGAACGAAGGCCTAGAAGGGCCCCTGTGCACTGGCCACACCTGGGGCTCTCCCTGAACCCTCTCCCTCCAGCACGGCCCCTCCCACACCAGCCCCTGCCATCCCAGGCCTCACCCCAGAACCCTCCCCAACCCCCTCATCTGAAGCAGCCACCCCATTCCCCATACCACATTGTGTTTTCTTTTTCTTTCAAGGCGGTTGTTATTGGTGTGAAGTGCTTTGCTGATGGATTTGTTGACTTTGTTTTCTGGACGTTCCCCCCAACCCTGACGCTCTGGGTGTCTCAGGTGTCTCCAGTGCCTGCCCCATACCTGGCGCAGAGTAGGTGCCAGGGCTGAATCACAGACGTGAGGTTTGGCCAGGGCTGGCCTGGCCAGGGCTGGGATTTAGAAAAAGCTGTCCAGAGGTAGCTCTGGTAGCTATGTGTTAGGGGAAGGGGTGAAGAGTGGAGTGGCAGGGGTGAGGGCAGGGGGAGGGGCCGGTTGGCCTTCATAGGAGACGGGAAAACCAAAATGCACAATGGATCTTCCAGAAGATGGGGCTGGCTCCTGCGGGTGCCAGGGCTCCAGAAGCAGCAGCTCCTAACCTGTGTGGCGCGGACAGTCGGCACTGTCCCCTGAACCCGCTTTCAGTTTGCAGCATGTGTGGTGGGCGCAAAGTGACCCTGCGATAAAGCCAGGGCCGGAGGTCTCACCCACGGGCAGGCAGCGCCTGTGCGGACACAGCACCCCAGTTCCCCTGCGGGCTGTGGCTCTCAGGGAAGCGAACGAGGCCACTCTGGGCAGCCGTCCTGTCAGGACACCTTGGAGAAGGCTGACGTCGCCCCACATGAAGGCTGGGCTCTCACAGGGACATGCAGATGCAGAAACCTCCCCGGCACTGAGACGTGGCGGGTCCCACCCGCCATCTGGAGCCGTTGTAGATGCTTTGTGACACTCGGAGGGCACAGGCCTGAGAGGGACCATGAGGTCAGACTCCTGCCAGAGCCTTGCCTGGGGAGGCCACCAAGACCCCTTGCTGTGAGCACTTCTGAGCTTCCGGTCCACAGCTGGGAGGGGCCGGTGCAGCCCGCGCGACACACCCCTCCTCCACCTTCCAGTGGGCCGCACTGTCACTCGACAGGCCAGGAATGGGCGGAGCCAGAGGCTGCCGGCTCACTGAATAGCCGATGCTGTCCGGGGACCTGCCTCCCATGGATGGCATTTTTCAGAGTCTGAGCTGTAACACACACTGCTTCCTTCTGCTTCTAGATTCAGCAGAAACCTGGAAGCTGCCTGAATTGGGGCTGGCGATGGCGTCGCCTCCGGGGCCCATAGAGGTGCGGGGGGGGCTCCCCGCCAGTGTGGGGAGACACGCGAGCTTGTTCCCTGCTCACCAAGCACCAGGGGCCGCACACGGTGCAGAATCAGACGCGGCCTTCCCTCTGGGGAGCCCACCCGCTGCTCCCAGACGGCTGAGACGCAGGGCCACAACTTGCTGTGTGACTCTGGGCTGTCTGCGCCCCTCTCTGAGCTCGCTGTCTTTTTTCCCTACCCCTACACCAAGGAATTTACTGACTGGTGAGAAAGGGGGTGCCAGCCAGGCGTGCAAGCCTAGGCGCGCTCGCCCGCTCCCACGCGTAAGCAAAGGGGCTTCCCCTGGCTGGTAGGGGCGGGAGCGGTCGCTGCCGCTGGGGTCGCAGACAGCAGGGAGGTGCCCGCGGGGCTGTAGGCGGCCCACTCCTGCGAGGGTCGGCCTGCGCGGCCCCTCCCCGCCTCCAGCCCGGGTCCCGCCTGAGCCGTTTGGAATAAAGAGGATTCCCTCGAGAGTGTGGATGATTAATTGCACAGTGATTCCATCCCGTGCTATTAATCAAACACTCGCCGAGTCTCACAGAGCACTCTAGGGTTCCCACCCGACCGGGAATTCTCTTTAAGAACCAGCAGTGGCTCGTCCGTGCTCGACCGGCGCGGCGTCCCCCGTGCAGCGGGCGCGCGTGGCGCTCGGCGCGGGAGACCCGGGGCGGGCGGGGGACGCCCTCGCACGGTCAGCGCAGCACGGACCGCCGGGCCCACACGAGCCGCGGAGGCTGCTTCTCTTCCAGCGCGACGCTTCCCGGGAATCAATGCCGGGTTGCTGCCCACGCCCCATCTCGCGCAGGCTCCACGGCAGACTGGCGCCCACCTACGAGAGCGCGTCCGTTCGCCGGTTCCGGGAGGGCCGCGTGGACAACATCAGGTCGGCCACTCCGGAGGCACTGGCCTTCGCGCGCGCCGCGACCGACCGCCAGGCCGCCGTGCCCGTAAGTCCGCTCGTCCCCCCCGAGCCGCCAGGAGCCCGGAGAGGCCGCTCTGGGCCTCTGTCCGCGCGCCTCCCTGGGCCCCGCGTGTGGCCGGGCCGCGTCCGAGCCCGCGCGCCCCTCTGCTCTGTTGCAGGCTGCGGAGAAGCTGCTGCTCCTGAAGGCCGCCGTCCGCGCGCAGACCGAGTACACGGTCATGGTGAGTGGGCCCCGCCACCAGCTGCCTGGGGACTTGGCAAGGCCACCCCACCGCCCAGCCTCCTTTTTCTTATTTTTAGAACCCAAGTGACAGACCATTCCCGCTTTTTAGGCGGAGTACAGTGAGTGCTATTTGAAACCCTTTGAAACGACCATAATGACCCTGATAGCACCTAATATGCACAGCGCTTTACAGTTTATACAGCAAGAGAAGTCAGATGGGAGGGGATGGGCTCAAGCCCCGCAGCCGTGGTGGCTCCCATTCCCTGCCCCATCTCAGGTGCAGCGCTAGTCACTCCCACCTGGGGCTAGTTCTGCCTCTTGTTCTCCGCGTATTTATTTATGCTACCTGTGAATAAAAAGGCTCTGCTGAAAATTAATGGTGAAATCAAAATTGTAAGGGGAATGTTTCCCTAGTTTAGGGAAATAATTTATTTTCTGGTACTGCAAAGCCATCACTGGCATACAAACACTAGAGAATAAGCAACTACTTGGGAAAGCGGGGAAGACTTCCCAGGGGTGGTGCTTACTCTGAGACATGAGGGGTGAAGAGAGGCTGACAGGCACACACAGAAGGGAGATGTGGCCCAGAAGGAAACAGCATGTGCAAAGGCGAAGAGTCTTGAGAGAGGAGGACGCATTCAAGGAAAAGCAAGTAGCTCAGTTAGTGCAGCTTGCAAGGGACAGAGGAGGAGGAGAGGTTGGATTCCCCATTACAAAGCATACGCTGGTGAGTGGGTAGAAGAGGGACTGGCTAGAGTCGGGGGTGGTTTGCTGAGAGGCAGAGCCACTAATAGGAACCTTTCCAGCGTTGACGGAGAGCCGGCATAGGGACTGGAGTAGAACAGGGCAGGGGGTGAAGAGGAAGACGTGAATTCTGATTCAACATGGTGGACCAAACACACAGAGAATCTCACTTTGATATTCTCCAAGACAACAGCCAAGGAATTTTTTTTTAGGTCATAAATACACTAGGGCAAAGAGAATGGGAAAGGAGGTGCCCACAAAGTTTTATGAGACTGATTATGAGTGACCACAAAGTTTTAGAGCTGGAAAGCAGAACACATGGCAACTGACTTAGAGAACAGTGAGAGAAGCTTGGGAGCCCAGTGAACGGCACTGTAGAACCTCAGGATGGCTCAGGCATTGGGGCACCCACAAAAAGTGGGGGTGGGGATGAAAAGAAGATGGTTGATGTCTCAGTCTGTTTGTGCTGCTATAACAAAATGCCTGAGACTGGGTAATTTATAAAGAACAGAAATTTATTTCTCACAGTTCTAGAGACTGGAAGTTCAAGATCAAAGCCCTGGAAGGTATCTGATCTTACCTGTCTGGTGTGGGCTGATCTCCACTTTTAAGATGGTGCCTTCTTGCTGTGTCCTCCAGAGGGGCAAACACTGTGTCCTCACATGGCAGAAGGTGGAAGGGCAAGAGGACCGAATGCTGAGTGAAGCCTCTCTTATAAGGGCCTTAATCCCATTCACGAGGCAGAAGCCCTCATAACCTAATCACTTCTTAAACGCCCTACCTCCAAAGAATGCTACCACATTAGCCATTAAATTTCAGTACTCGAATTTTGGAAGGGACCAAAACATTCAAAACACAGCCGTTGATGATCTATATAAGAAGCAGTTAGACCCTCAGATCCGTTCTACCACCCCATGCAGCCAGGCTACTACCCCATCCCTCTGCAATGGTGGGCTGAAAGTTTATTCTCAGAGAGGGTGAAGTGGAAGGACTCTAGACTTGAGGAAAGCAGGGATATCTGAGGGAGATGATGCTATACTAAAAATAAGGATTGATCAAAGTCTGCTTCCTCCATAGTAAACCCTCCAGCCACTCAGCTCCACACACACTGGGAACCATGTCTATTATCACCCCTTCCCAAGCAGATTAGAAGATTTCTCTGCGGTGAAACTGACCAGGCCAAGAGAGAAGACACAGAAACTCATGGTTGGGGTCCCCAGTGAAAGAGTCAGCTGACCCCGCAGTGAAGCACACAGGTTAACAAATGTATTCTCACCAATCTCCTAATCATTTTTCAGTGCTTTATTCTTAGATATAAACAGATAGCCATAGATCACCAGACATTGAGGAGAGCTGCTAGCACAAAAGTCTGAAACCAGCACAAACACTTTTGTTAATTTTTTAAAAAATCTTAATTTAAGATATTTTAAAAGAAACTTGAAAACAATACAGGAAACAAGAGGACAGTTTTAAAAAATGATCATTGTGACTGTCTGAAAGACAAAAGAAGTTACTACATCTTCATATAAGAACAGAAAACTCTAAAAAATTTTTTCAGGAAATAAAAATTACTCTGGGGGAAATATGGTAGCAAAAATTCAGTGGAAGGATTGGGAGATAAGCTGAGACAATATCCCCCAAATACTAACAAAACAAAGAGATAGGAGAGAAAAGAGGGTCAGTCGAGGAGGACCATATTCTAAATAATAGATGTTCAGAAAGAGAAAATGGTAGAGGGGGCATCATTAACAAAATAATTCAAGAAATTTCCCCAGAACTGAAGAACATGAGTTTTCCTGTTGTGAAAGTTCACCAAGTATCTTGCTTAGTAGATGGAAAATACTCATACCAAAGGAAATTTCACAACACTAAAGATGAAAAGAAGATTCTAAAATCTCTCAGAGAAAAAGAATCAAGTACAAAGATCCAGAATAAAGATGTAATTGACTCCTCAACAGCGTCATGGACAGTGGAAGATAGTGGAGCAATACCTTCAAATTCTGAGGAAAAATGACCTTCAGCACACATTTCCATACCCAGCTAAACTGTCATCAAATCTGACAATAGAATAAAGACATTTTTAGACAGACAAGTTCTCAAAAATTTTACTTGTTAAGCACTCTTTCTCATAAAGGTACCGGAGAATGTAGGCCTCTAAAGTGAGAAAATAAAACATAAAAGAGGGAGCCAAAAGCTTAAAAAACCAGAAGATTTAACACAAGAAAGAGGTAGTGGGATTTCCCCAGATAATAGCAAAAGATCACACACTGACAGCTGATCAGCAGACATGGGAGCAATCAGTCCACAGAGGGGCAAGAAGTAAGAGGATGAATGAAATTCTGGCTGACTGGTTTAGGAATCAGTTAGAAATAGATACACAGAAAGCTAAGCAAGTGTAAAAAACACAATTTAATAATTTAAAACTTGTTAATTCTAGGGAAAACTAAAATTTCAATAAGAAAGAAAATCTAATCCTAGTATACTACATGACCCAGCTATGAATACTTGCTTAATCATAAGCATGTATATTGATCTTTGTATGTGATTATGCTGTATACTGATCAAACAACAAAGAATTAAAACACAATTCTACTAGATGGATGGAAGAGTAGACACGTGTTGGGGCAGCAGGGGCATAAGGAGCTAAAGTTTCACCTTCTATAACAAGATTATGGGTGAAACTGAGAAATGCAACAGTGGTAGTCTAAACATGAATTTGGAACAATGAAAGCAAATGCCAGAAAGAAACAGCTTAAAGAGGGCTGGGAGGGGTTGCCGCTGTGGAGTGGGACTCAGTGCTGGCAGAGTAACCTAAGCCTTTGGCTTATTTGGATTTGTAAACCATATAAATATATGACTTTGATAACAAATTTAAATTTATGAAAATTTCCAGGAAGATAGCCTCCAAAGCATTGCCATAGGGTTCTGTTGTGTTAACGATTTTGACTTGATAAGAACAACTGAATCAAAGAGAAGGAGTGGGGAAAGGAGAGAGATCAGGGTGCTTGGGAGATGAATCTGGTGCCTGGTTGGCCGTGGGGTCGGGGAAAGGGGGAAGCAGCAAGAAAACCTCCTGATGACTGGTAGTACAGCTGGCAGTGGTTCTGGAGAAATCAATTCCAATGGCGGGCAAGCAAGGTGGTCCAGCTCCTCCATGGCTTATTCCAGCGCTTTGTGCTTTTCCTTCCTAGCACTTACTTCTGTTTATGATCGTATGTTTATTTGCTTGGTTGATGAAAATCTGCCCCCCGTGACACCGTGAGCTCCACAAGGACTGAGTCTATGATAGCCTTGTTCTCTGTGGCTCCAGGACCGGGCAGCATCGGGCATATTGTAGGCACTCAGTTGAGATTCCCTAAATGAATGAATGAAACACTGAATGCTGAGTCATTTTACTCGTTACTACTCACGGCTCTCAGCCAAATGATCTGTTAACGCAACCCCTCTTGCTACAGTTAGCTCAGAGGTGGTGGAAATGGGGTGAACTGGCTACAGAGCAGCCGCTTCTATGGACCCACACAAATCAGGGATTACACAGAGGTACCCAGAGACATGAACAGAGTGGTCTACTTCGTAGACTCAAGGTTCTTCCCCTCTATCCTAACGGGGCATACCTAAAGTGAGCTGTGGTTGTGTAACGTACGTCTTTTCAGCCTATAATTAGGTGCATTCAGAGAGACTGCAGCCTCTGAGTCATCTTCCTGCATTCATTCTCAACTGAAAGAGAACAGCTGTCAAATCCCAAAACGTGCCTTGTAAACCTAAGCCACGTACATTGGGATGGGAGGTTTCCGCCTGTGTGGGGCTTCAACAGCAACACGGCCATCTGACATAACTGTGAAACCCCAAGAGCTACTCACAATTACCCTGCTGTTCACCCCAAAATTATTGCTATAGGTCAGGGGTAGCCCCCTGAGTCTCCATCAGCCCCCAGAATTGCTCCAAATAAACATGTAGTCCAAAAGAATCAGTGTGCACACTACACACCCAGCTTCAAGTGGGTTAGGGTTAGGGTTAGGGAGATGTGGAATGGGTACTCTGGCCCCACTTCCAGCCTCACCAGCCCCCTGAACCCCTCCTACATTGAAATTCTGGAACCCTTGCTGCTGTTATCCTATCCTTAGAGTTTAAATATCTTATGATAACAAGAAAAAGACCCTTCATCATTCAACTAGCTCTTTCCCCTTGAAACTGTCAGCTGAGCCTCTGCTAAGATGTGTAGTTCCAATCTCAAATCGATTTCTTAGAGTATGAATCCCGTTTAACTGAACTGATCCTGAGCCCATGACATAGGGGCAGGATTGAGGAACAGACCTGACACCCTCTATGCCTTGTTTCTTGGGCTCCTGCTGCAGGATAAAGCGTTGGTTGGGAGAGTCTGCCCAGGATAGCCCGGGATGCCTTTCCCGATGCTTGGGTGGGACCCAGCAGTCCCTGGGCCCAGCACTCAGCCCCCTCGCCGACCCCCTCTCAGAGCAGGCTGTGATGACGGTGGCCCTGCCAGCCCCACTCTTTCCACTTAGAGCACCACGTGGCTGTGGGTTTTGGTGTGTAGGGTGTTCTCGGACTCACTGGCCTTTAACTCGGATGTCTAAAGTTAGAACCCAACCTGCTCTGAACCGATTCGATGCATGCAGAAATAGGCAAGGGCCCCAGGAGCAGAGACGGTGTGGTAAAGTCCCGAGCGGCCATTCACACACGTTGTCGGCAGCAGGCACTGGAGTCACTGTTAGTCTTGTGGACTAGAGAGGAGGGGAAGAGGAGGTGTGGGGGAGCCCACATCTCATCTCCTGTTCTTTGTCCCCAACTACCCAGGCCATAACGGGGATGGCCATCGACAACCACCTGCTGGCGCTGCGGGAGCTGGCCCGGGACGCGTGCAAGGAGCTGCCTGAGATGTTCATGGATGAAACATACCTGATGAGCAACCGGTTTGTCCTCTCCACCAGCCAGGTACAGCCCGCGTGCGGTCATCGCCTGAGAGTAGTGTAACCGGTGAGCTTCCCAAAGAGCTCAGTGGCCACAAGCCCCCTGGCGGGAGTCAGGTGGGTCCCGCCTCTGCCTCTGCTTCTGATGGGCCACGTGACCTTCGGCAAGATGATATACTTGCCAGTTAGGAGGCAGTTTCCTGTCTTCTAAATGGGAGTACTCACAGGCCCCACCTTAGCCGAAGTGGAGACAGATGGGAACACACCCATTCTCGCACCCCGACCGTTATGCGGTACCGCCTTCCAATCTATGACCCGAGAGGGGTGTTCCAGGCACCATGGGCTCTGACGCCTGCTGCGTCCAGAGTGCGGTCTTGGCCAAGCCAGATGTGATGAGGTAGGAGAAAGCCCAGCCCGGTGCCTGGCCCGGACGGGCCCTCCAAACAGGTCACGGGTATTATTATAAAGGGCCAAGCAAGAGATCAGCTGGCAGCCTAACGGCTCCTAACCAGCGCTACAGGCTGGTTCTGTTGGAGGACCACCGTCACAAAGACAGGATGAAATCCACTAGGGAAAGGAGAGTTTAGGAAATACCCCACAATTGTCAATTTACTGACCCTTCACCTCACTGCAAACAGCTGGACATGGGCAATAAAAGGGGCCGAGAAAGCTGTGTGTGAGGATGACAGCCCACTCAGTGATTTGATTTTGTCATTAGGGCAGTGAGCATGCAGACGCAAATAAACCAGGGCAGAACACAACAACATAAATTCTTCAGGAAACCATCCATGGGCAAAAAGTGCTTTGGAATGGCTTTATGGCCTCGGCTGTTTGCACGGCAAATTCATCTGACAATGCGGTGACTCTATTCGCAAGACTAATGGTTTGTTCTGCCCCATTAAAACGGCCAGTGTCACTTCCGAAGGCCCGAGTTCGCAGCACAGGAAACCTGTGGGTTTAAAACAAACCAGCCCCCGCACCTGCACGGGATCCTTTCTATTTTCCCCTAAGACCAACTAATAAAATTAACCTGGGGTGTGGGGGTTTTGTTCTTATTTTCCAACCAGAAAGTGGCATTTATGGCTTGAATGCCTTCAGAAACCCACTTTCTTGATCTGTGATACGATTACAAAATCTCAGCACTCTGAATTCAAAACATACTAGGTGCATAACTAAAACTCCCGTTGATGGCAATCTTTGAAACGCACAGCGCTGGGTAACTGTGCGTGGCGGGGCTGTGGGGAGCACGTCAGAGCAGCCAGGCAGTACTGACAGTAATTAAGGATCCGGGGAAATCGACAGAGAGGATGGGCCAGGTTTCCTCCAGTTCATAAATTACTCCCTCTGGGAAGCATCTAACTGTTGGGTGCCACCAGGGTGCCGTTTAGTAAATTACCCTGATTGCCTCCGTGCCTCAAACTGCCCCCAGGTGAAGGGGAGATTCAGCCAGAGACCCAGCACCAGGTCATTCTGGGAGCTTCCAGCTCCGCAAGTAGAGCAGATTGCACACCCGGGAGTGGGCTTGAGGCCCCTCTCCCTCCGATGTCTGCAGTTAGATGCGTTTGTTTTTATGACTCTGGCTGTGTCCATCCATGCTGAAGCAATTGGTCGATTTGGTTAATTCAGTCAAACCCCCCTGGTGGCAAATAGTCAGGGAAGCAAAGACACAGCCAAGGCCCTGGGTGTTGGAACACAGGCTGCATTTCAGAGCAGGCAGCTTCCGACCTGTCCTCTTCTCCAGGTGCCCACAACCATGGAGATGTTTTGCTGCTATGGTCCTGTGGTCTCCAATGGGTACGGTGCCTGCTACAACCCCCAGCCAGAGACCATCCTCTTCTGCATCTCCAGCTTTCACAGCTGCAAAGAGACCTCTTCTACCAAGTTTGCGAAAGCTGTGCAAGAAAGCCTCGCTGATATGAAAGACCTCTGCAGTCCACCGCAGCCTGCCGAGGGCAAGCCACTGGCAACAAAGGAAAAAGCCGTGAGGCCCAGCCAGGGACACCAACCTTGACTCTTGCCACCAGGTCTCTCCTCCCAAGCCCAGCCTCTGCAGCCCCAGACCCTGCCAATCCCCCGTGCCCATCCCGCACCCCAGCTTCCTGCAGCTCCCCGACCTCAGGGCCCAACCCACAGACCACGCGGAGGCATCACACCAAGCTGGAGAGCGGGGAGGAAAGGGTCCCAGGCTATGCATTCAAGGTGCCCTCTGCACTGGGCAGTGAGAGCAGCCTGGAGGCGGCCTGGGCGAGGTGGGGGAGCCGCACTGAGGACCTCCCTCTGTGGTCCTCGGAAGCTTAACGTTCATGTTTCCTTCCCCAGCAGGACCTAGCGTGTCTAGGTGATGTTTCTGCCCAACGAAAGAATGAGTCACCTGATTACATGCATTGTACTTAAGTCAGTCACGAAGGAAGAGGCAGCTCTGGGTCATTACCTCTTCTGGAGGAGGAGCCTTTGTTTTCAGATTCAAATCATTTTGATTACCGCGTTCAGTGCCTCCACTGAACCACACGGTCCTGCCAGCACCTGCTCCCGACACACACCACACACAGCCCACATGCATTTAAGATACAGTGACCCGGGCAGCCCACAAACACGTTTCCCCCTTTGCTCCCCGGGGCAGCCTTCCATTGAGTTCAGAAAATTGCATCCAGCTATTTTGAAAGGGGAGAAGGTTATCTGTAACCGCCCTGGACCTGGTGCCCCTCTTTGCTTCCCGGCAGCACCAGGGGGGTGCACGATGAGGAAAGCGCACAGCCCGGAGCAGGCAGCACCTCGCACAGGTGGATTAGGGAGGACCGGGTGCTTCCCCTGGACTCCACTATTTGCATTTTTCTGCATCTTTCCCACTCTGCTCTCCACTGTACGTGCCCCAATACGTGGAGAAGAGAGAGGGTTGCTTTGGTTTTTCTGCTTTGTGGTTGTTTTGTTTTGTTTTGTTTTTAAGAAAACCACCCTGACATTAATTTCGAAAACGATCTCAGTGTCCCAAGGAAGACATCCTTAGACAGCTGGGCTCCCTTATTTGGAGGATGCTCTCCAGGAATTCTAACCACAACCTGAGTGGAGGAACCCAGAGCAGGGCTCCACAGTGGCCTCAGGACCCAGGGCACAGCTGGTAGCAAGCAGGCTGGGAGGAGGGAATGGCTTGCCCAGAGCCAGCCCCAGCGGAGGCAGGACAGCCAGCCCAGCAGGGTCAGAGGTGAGCGTGTCCTACGAGCCTGTGGTGGTACAGGAGGTGTGAGAGGCTCTTCCCACTGGGGCACATTTTTATGGAACATCTAAAAGAGCAAGGGAAGGGACCAGGACAGCAACCAGAAATGTCCAAAGCAGAGAAAGCAGAGGGCGGCGCAGAGCTGGGCTCTCTCGCGGCTAGTGCCACTCTCTCCCCACCGCATGTTCCCGAAGAGCTCCCTCCCTCGCAATTCTGTGGTCCCCGTCATTCTGAACACTCCACTTGGCCCAGGGAAGCTCTTCACATGGTGGCCTGGATTGCCACGGGCGGGCTGAGGCGAGGTGGGCCAAGAGCCGACTGCTGCTCGGCTCTTTGGAAACATGGCAGCCGCAAGCAGGGACCTCCTTATGCCCTGGTTTTAGGTGGAGGGTTTCTATTGGATAGTGTGGGAGAGGTGGGCACGCCCTTCCAAGGAACAAAATCAAGTCACTGGTCTGTAGGTCCATGTTCCTTCCCTCCCACAGCCACCTTCCTGCTCCCCTAGGGAAGTTGCAGCCTCAGGGTCCCAGGGGTGTCTGGGGACCAGCAGGTGGACTGCCCATTCCAAAGTCACCGGTTGTTCTCACCAAATGACCACAGCGCAGATCCAAGTTTTCCTCTGGTTTCCATCCGTGGATTTCTGGGCAGGCAGAGAGCTCTGGCTTTGGGGTCAGGCAGCCCCGCTGACCTTGGCCTAGTGACTTAAAATGCCCAGAAACTCAATTCCCTACATTGTCAAATGAGGACAGGAATGTCCCCATCTTGCAAGGCTATGAGGATCAGAGAGCACATGTGCAAAGGACCTTGCATGAGAGGGTGGGCAGCAGTGCCCACCTTCCAGAGGACATTAACCCAGTGGGCAATGTTCGGGTGATTTTCTTTTAAACTATACTGATGTGACAGACCCAAATTCATATCTGCTATTCTCCAAGCATAGGGAAAGGTAACTTACTCTGTACACTCAGACATCAAACCATGCACTTCAAGAAGTGCGAATGGCAGATGCTTGGCAGGAGGGAACACCTCCTCTCCCTGAGGAGGGGCTGGAAGCTGGTCTTCCCCCTCCAGCCAGAAGAGATGGGTGCACTGAGACTTTATGCAAAGGCAATGCTGAGCCATGGCCATGGGCATCTCTGTGGGGACCCTGGGAAAGGAGTCAGCTCCAGGTGTCCCCAAAGAGACAGAAAATGAGACAGTCATTTGGAACTGTAACACATAATAAAAATGTATGTGGCCACCTTACAATACTGCTAAGTTGCTAAAATATATAAAGTTAATATTTGAGTTCTATTTTTATAAAATAGTTCTAGATTTATGGCAATATGTATATGTGTATAGCCTTTCAATTTTAATTTATAGTTTTGTGCTTTGAAGAAATATATGTATGATTAAAGACCTATATATTGAAAGCATTATATACAAATTATTTAACGACTATAAGTCTGTATTCAATAAAAAGTAATGCCAAGAAAGATGATGTTAGCCATTGTTTCTACCCAGAAATACTATAAAATATAATGTTGTATGTTCTCTGAGCTGGGTCAACAACTCATTTGTCTTTGTCTGGGGTCTGCCAGCAGCAGTAGCCAATGTCTAGGAGATACAAAGGCCAGGAGAGAAAAGGGAGGAGGGAATGGAATCTCTCTCAATGTGTGGCATGAGATGAACCACTTTGGAAACTGTACAAATACATGGAAATTAAAACAACATGCTCCTGAATGACCACTAGGTCAAAGAAGAAATTAAGGAGGAAATAAAAAAATTTCTTGAAACAAAAATCAAAATACAACATACCAAAACCTTTGGGATAAAAAGCAGTGCTAAGAGGGAATTTTATAGTAATAAATACCCATATATAAAAAAAAGAGAGGTTTCAAATAAAAAACATCTAATGGTGCATCTCAAGGAACTAGAAAAGCAAGAACAAACCAAACCCAAAATTAGTAAAAGGAAAGAACTAATAAAGATTAGAGAACTAAATGAAATAGAGATTAAACAAAATAGAAAGGATCAACAAAATAGTTGATTTTTTGAAAAAATAAATAAAATCAATAAACTACTAGCTAGAATAACCAAGAAAAAAAAAAAAAAAACAAAAAAAAAAAAAATTAGCAATAAAAAAGGAGACAGTACAACTGATACCACAGAAATATAAAGGATCATCAGAGACTTAGGAACAACTATTCACTAACAAACTGGAAAACCTAGGGGAAATGGATAAATTCTTGGACACATACAACCTACCAAGATTGAATCAGGAAGAAACAGAAAATCCCAAGAGACCAATAACAAGTAATGAGATTGAGTCAGCAATAAAGTCTCCCAACAAAGAAAAGCCCAGGACTGGATGGCTTCACTGCCAAATTCTACCAAACTTAACAAAGAAGAACCAACACCAATTCTCCTCAAACTATTCCAAAAAATTAGAGAAGGGAATTTTCCCTAACTCATTTCCTGAGGCCAGCATTACCCTGATATCAAAACCTGACAAGGACACCACAACAACAGCAACTATAAGCAAATATTAGTGATGAACACAGATGCAAAAATCCTCAACAAAATACTAGCAAACTAAATCCAACAGCACATCAAAAAGATAACACACCATGATCAAGTGGGATTTATCCCAGAGATGCAAAGATGGTTCAACATATGCAAACCAATAAATGTGATGCATCACATCAACAGAAGGAAGGACAAAAAACATATGATCATCTTAACAGGTGCAGAAAGAGCATTTGATAAAATTCAGCATCAGTTCATGATAAAAACTTTTAACCAAGTAGGCGTAGAAGAATCATACCTTAACATAATAAAGGTCACAGATGAAAAACCCACAGTAACATCATACTGAATAGTGAGAGGATGAAAGCCGTCCCTCTAAGAACTAGAATAAGACAAGGATGCTGATGTTCACCATTCCTATTTAACATAGTACTGGATGTCCTAGCCAGAGCAATCAGGCAACAGAAAGAAATAAAAGGCATCCAAATTGGAAACAAGGAAGACAAATTGTTCCCCTATGCAAATGGCATGATCTTATAGCTAGACTCAACCAAAAGTCTCTTAGATCATAAGTAAATTCAGTAAAGTTGCAGGATACAAAATCAATATACAAAAACCAGCAGCATTTCTATACACCAATAATGAACTAGCTGAGAAAGAAATCAAGAAGGCAATCTCATTTACAACAGATACTTCCCAAAATACCTAGAAATACATTTAACCAACGAGGCGAAAAACATATTAAAAAAGACCCGATAAAACACTGATGAAATTGAAGAGGACACAAACAAACAGAAAGACACCCCATGCTCATGGATCAGAAAAATTGGTATTGTTAAAATGACTGTACTACCCAAAGCAATCTACAAATTCAATACAATCCCTATCAAAGTAGTAATGTCATTTTTCACAGAAAGGAGTAAACAATCCTAAAATTTGTATGGAACCAAAAAAAGAACCCAAATAGCCAAAGCAATCCTGAGCAAAAAGAACAAAGCTGGAGGTATCACACTACCTAACTTTAAAATATATTACAAAGATACTGTAACCAAAAGAGCATGGTATTGGTATAAAAACAGACACATAAACAAATGGAACAGAATACAGAACTCAGAAATAAATCCATGTATTTACAGCCCACTGATTTTCAACAAGGGCACCAAGTACATACATTGGGCAAAGGACCCCCTCTTCAATGAATGGTGCTAGGAAAACTGGATATCCTTAGCAGAAGAATAAAACTCCTATATTTCACCATATACAGTTGGATATTAACAGAAGGAATTAATTATAATGTTATAATGTTCAATAGCAGAGTAGGGTGACTACAGTCATGACAGTGTATTATATATTTCAAAACAGCTAGAAGAGAGGACTTAAAATGTTCCCAACCATAGAATCAATAAATACTTCAGGTGATGGATACTCTAAATATGCTGATTTGGTCATTACACATTCTATACATGTAACAAAATATCCACATACCTCACAAATATATACAAATATTATTTATCAATAAAAAACCTCACAGTAAAATGGAATTAGAAAAGAACTAGCTTAGCCTGACAAAGAGCGTCTACGAAAAAAACGCTACAACATACATCATCCTAAGTGGAATGCTGGAAGTGTTCCCTTCCCTTTTGGATCAGGATAAAGAGAGGACAGGTATTATCACCACCTCTATTCATCACTGCACTAGAGATTCTAGCCAGTGCAATAAGAAGCAAACAAAAAGAAAGGCTTAACAAAGAAAATAAAACTGTCATTGTTTGCAGACAATGTGATTGTTTACATGGAAAGCTCAAAAGAATCTACAAATAAACTGATAGAAATAATTTTAAAAAGTCAAAGTAGCTTACAAAGATCAATATATTAAAGCCAATTTCATTATATACACCAGCAACAAATAATAAAATGACAATTTAAAAGATATTTACAATAGTGTCCAGGAATAAATCTAACGAAAGAGATGAAGGACTATGTGCTGATAATTGTAAATTGTACTGAAAGACATCAGAGACGATCTAGACAAAGAAGAGGTATTCCAAGTTCGCAAATAGGAAGGCCTCAGAAAGATGTCAACCTCTTCATACTGATCTCTGGATTTCAGGCAGCTTCAGCCAAACTCTCAACAGAAAACTTCTGTTTCTGATAATGGCAGACTAGTGAATTCAGACTAAGCTTCCTACAGAAGAGATCTTTAAAAATCTGCCATATATTTTTTTTAGAATCTTCTTCAAAAAGCATAAAAGAGCTTATTGGATCAAGATCGGGGAGGCTGATCTTGGAGGATGGCTCCCTGGGAGCACTGGGGCTGCTTTTCCCCGGGGCTATCTAGTGTCCTTGAACAGACAGTGCACAGAACGAGCGGCAACTTTTGAGTCCTTGCAGAACTAGGGCGTAAAACTGGAGTCCAACACCACCAAGGAAGGGAAGGCCTAGTAAGCCACCAGCCTCATTAGGCTAGGATCCCAAAAAACTGCACGGTAGCAATGAGGATAAAACACAAATAAACCGATCTCCACATGTGCTGCAGCCCAGTTTCAAGTCGTCTGGATGGCTCAGAAAATCTCAAGCCCTGAAATTGTATTAAGATGATCTGGATTGTTGGTGCAACTAGGATCTGGCAAGACGTAAATTTAAAAAATCTTCTACAGGGGAAGATAATATCATCCTAGGCCTCAAATTGTTTCTACAAATAATTTTTCTAATACAATGTCCAGTACACAATTAAATAAACCAGGCACTCTAGGATACCAGACAAAATGCACAGAAACCAGCAGAAATAACGAACTACAGAAACAGATACAGGCATTCTCCAGATACTGGATTCTCAAACATAGACTATAAAATCACTATCTTTACTATGATGGTGATAAAGCCAAACCTAAAAAACTTGGCAAGAAACTGATAACCATAAAAAGTGGCACTGCAGATTTGAAAAGAGAACAAACTAAAATTCTAGAATGGAAAAATAAATGACTGAAATAAACTACCAAATCGATAGCTTTGTGATCAGTTAAGAGACAGCTGAAAAGAAATTTACTAAACTGGATTACAGGTAAAAATGGATGTGCATACACACACACACACACACACACATATACATACAGCCTCAAAAGAGGCATGGAAGAAAAAAAGAAGGAAAACACAGAAGAGAAGAGACATGAAGAATACAATGAGGACTAACGTATTTACTGGCGTCCCTGAAGAGTGAGAAAATGGAACAGATGCCATATGCGAGGAAGTAATGGCTCAAACTTTTCCAAAAACTGATGAAGGACCTTCACTCACAGTTTCAAGAATCTCAACAAATCCCAAGCAAGATAAATAAAAAGAAAGCTATACGTAGGCACGTTACAGGAAAACCACAGAAAGCAAGAGATAAACATTTGCAGCCTTGAAAACAACAATCCTTATAAAACTTTTAGCAAAGTTAAAACAAACTTAAATTTCTAATAAATAAAAATACAGCCAATAGAGGATTTTTGCCTTTTCAAAAGTGTACAGAGTTTAGGAAGTACCAGAAAATAAGTCCTTCCAAGGTAGGACATGTGGCAATCCTGAACCTAAAAGAATAATAATGACATTGTGTACAGTCCTGTATTCCTCCAGAGTTTGCTGGGTTCAGCTGTGTTGGGAGTTCGGGGGCTCCTATTTGGTGGTGCAAAACACTAACGTGCTGGGAGAAATTACTTATGACCCAAAATAATGTCCAAATTCTACTGACATCATTTCTCTATGTACCAACCACGTATGAACTAAGTCTCATCTAAGAAATACGTGTCACAGTAGAACATATTTCACGAGTGGAGAGAATTAAAATACACAACAACCGCATACGTTGGGAGGAAAATTGATGGGAAAGAGCTTTTAAAATCCTTCTGTTCAAAGGGAGGGTAAAAACATCAACTACAATTGGATTTTTAGAAATTCAAGATTTATGTTGTAATTGCAAGGGTATTAGGATTGTCAGGTTGGCCTAACTGCTATTATAAACACCCCCAAAATCTCAGTGTTTCCTTCTTGCTTCTGCCACCAACTGGTGCGAAGGGTAAGCCTCTGCCCGGCGCAGCAGTGCGGGGTCCAGGTTCCGCCCGCGTTTGGGCCCTGTCACGCCCCGGGCCTCCGGGCCTCCCTGCGTGTTGATGTGGCCACAGCAGGTGTGGACGAGGCTTCGTGGGCGGCCGGGCAGTGTGGACGTCCTCCGGGTCCGCATTCCGACGGGCAGGCCTGAGCAAACGAAAGGGAGCTGGGCGAACTTACAGCTTCGTCTCCACCAAACGGCCTGCCTCGAAAGAGAACAAAAACAACTTTCAAACAGAGAAAAAATATGGAACGAAGAACAAACATACTCAATCAATCCAAAAACAGGAAAAGAGCAGAGGAAACGCAAGGATTCCCGCTGCACGCGACACCGCCGCCTCGCCGGGGAAGGTTACGCGGCCTCCCCGACCTCGGCTGTGCAGACGCGAGACACAAAACGCGACTTCCTTCCCGGGCTGCGCAAACGATTCAGTGCGATGCCGCGGCCAGCGTAACCGGCCCGCACGCGTCCGCCATTGTCGCACTGACCAGGCGACCTCGCGCGTTACCTGGCGGCGAGGCCACGAGAGCCGCTCGGCGTTGGGCGGGGACTCGGGCGGGGGGGCCGCGGAGCTCCGCCCCCGCCCCGCCCGCCGTTGGCCACGCCCCCCGCCGAGCGCCCAGGAGCGTTGCCTAGCAGCGGGGGCCGCTCCGGGGCGGCGGCCATGTCCCGGAACGCGGTGGTCGTCTTGCGCTACGGGCCGTACAGCGCGGTGGGCCTGGCCGTGGAGCACCGCACCTTCCGCCTGGAGGGCCTGCAAGGTGGGCCTGCCGCGGCGTGCGCCGCCGTGCGCCGCAGCCGCCGAGCATCCGTGCGGTTTGTGCCTTGTGCCTCTTTCCTCAGCGCGGACCAGGTGCCGCCCCCTCCGGGAAGTCTTCCCAGAGCCCCGCTCCCCAGGATGACTTAGCATCCTCCGGTTCCACAGCTTGGATGTAAGAGTGGGGACAAACGAGCTGTGGGCCCCCCCGAGTGCGGGACAGTGTACACCAATTTCCTCGGTAGAAAAAATTATATAACCCTGCTTACGAATTGGGAAACTGAGAATCGGGAATATTAAGTGACTTTCACAAGTCAAATGGCTGGAAAATAGCAGTGCCGACATTGTCCCTCTTAATCATTCATTCATGCAACAAACCTGAATTGAGGACCTGGTATGTGTCGGACACCCTTCCAGGTACTGAAGACGCGCTGTTGAACAATGATGTATGACCTTGAAGTGATCTTCTCATTGCTGACCACTGAGTGACGGTCGGGCCAAAGCTCTGAGGGTACAGAGTGCCATGGGAATGTCACTACCTGTGTCTGGCCATAATTGGAGAGGCGGGAGAGGTCTGGAAAAGTTCATTTGAGAAAATTACATTTGAGTTGAGCTTTAAAGAAATGAATAAAAACTAACCAGGTAAAGAAAGGAAAGAGCCTTCCAGAAAGGACTAATGTCTGCAAAGGCTGGAGGCACGAACAAGTGATGTCTTTGTAGCACTGATGCAGGGATAAGGCTGGAGCGGTAGACGGAGGCCAGATCCTGCAGGGCCACAGACGAGTCGTAAGCAGGGGGAGGACAGCCTGGCTGCTCTGAGGATCACAGATCAGAGGGGCCGAGAGCGCGATCAGGGAAGACAAAGTCAGAAAGCTGTTGTTGGCGTGGTCCAGGGTTAAGAGTAGCATGGACCAGGACAGCCATAAAGGGGATAATGGATCAAGGTAAAAGCAGTGCTGCTCCCTGAGGATGGATGTGGGAGGCCAGGGTAAAGAGGATGTCATGCACCTGAAGTCAGTGTCTGGCTTGAGGCAGTGCTGATGGATGGAGGTGTTCTCCGCTAAAATTGAAAACGCCGAAATGGGCCTTAACTTGGAGGAATATGTTCCATTTTGGATATACAGACAGTCCCCAGATGTGATTTTTCAACCTTACGATGCATTTATCTGGAGGCAACTCCATCATAAATGGAGGTGCATCTGGACTTACAGTGGTTCTACTTATGATTTTTCCACTTCACTTGGCTTTACCAGGGTATTAAATGCATTTTCAACTGACGATGTGTTTATTGGATGTAGCCCCATCGTGACGTCAAGGAGCATCTGTATGAAGCTTTTCATGTGCTTTCAGCTACCTAGATGGAGGTACTGAGTCAGCTCTGCCATCCTGGAGTTGAGAGAAAAGGTCTGGAGGTGGAGATAGAAATATATGAGTCATTGACTTGGAGAGAACATACGGAATGAGAAGAGGGCCCAGGAATGAGCCTCGATGAACTCCATTATATGACTCAGACTGAGAATCTTCCATGCAGAATGCTGTGGGAGTCCAGAGGACGCAAAAATCAGTTTTGACTCAGCAATCACGGAAGGCCCCCTGGAGGAGGTGACATTTGAGTTCGAGTTTGAAGGATGAGTAGGATTTCAGTCGTCAGAGAATGTTGCTTTCTCTGAGAGAACAGTTGACAAAACTGTTGTAAATACCTCAGTGTTTGTATTAGTTTACTAGAGCTGCCATAACAAAATCCCATAAACTGGGGATCTTGAACAATAGAGATCTATCTTTTTCACAATCCAAAGGCTGGAATTCCCTGATCAAGGCCCCGCAGGGGTGGTTTCTGATGAAGGCTCTCTTCCTGGCTTGCTGCCAGCTACCTTCTTTCTTGTGCTCACATGGTGGGGGCATGTGGGGGGAGTGGGCAAGATCTCTGGTGTCTCTTCTTATAAGGACACTAATCCTACCAGATTAGGGCCCCACCCTTATGACCTCATTTAACTTTAATTACCTCCTAAAGGATCTATCTTCAGATAGTAATATAATCACAGTGGGGGTTAGGGTTCCACATATGACAGGGGGTGCACAATTCAGTCATTAGCAGTGCCGTATGGTGATGCTTAAGATGTTTTCTGGCCTTGGCTAAGGATACAACCCAAATAAATGACTTTTCTCTTCCTCCCGCTCCGAGGAGCCCCACCCACCGCCACCTCATAATTAACCTTTAGTTTATGTTCACTTTCTCTAAAAATAACAAGGGTCTTAGCCCACTGAGGGAGAACAACTGCATTCAAGAGATCTCTGAGCCTTCTTGCTTCCTCTTTCTGTCCCCAGCCTCTTGACTTTTGCAGATACTTTTCTTTTTCTCTGTCCCAGACCTACGGCACGTGAGCTCCTCCCCTCCACAACCCACCCCCACATTTTCTGTCAGTTCAGCTATTTCTTTACCTTTTTTTTTCTTTTTACTATTTTTATTGTGGCAAAATACACATAACAAAATTTCCCATTTTAACCATTTCCAGTGTACAATTCAGGAACATGAATTACATTCACGGTGTTGTGAAACCAGCCCTGTTACCATCGTAAACAGAAATTCTGTACCCAGCAAGCAGTAACTCTCCATCCCGCCAGCCCCAGCCCCTGGTAACCTCTACTCTGCTTTCTGTCTCTATGCATTTGCCCATTCTAGATATTTAATAGGAGTAGAATCATACAATGTGTGTCCTTTTGTTTCTGGCTTATTTCACTTAGCATAATATTTTCAAGGTTCATCCATGTTGTAGCACGTATTAGCACTTAATTGCTTTTTGTGGCTGAGTAATATTCCTACACACACACACACACACACACACACACACACACACACACACACACCAAGTTTTGTTTATCCATTCATTTGTTGATGGACACTTGGGTTGTTTCCACCTTTTGGCTATTGTGAATAATGCCGTTAAGAACATTGGAGAACAAATATCTGTTTGAGTCACTGTGTTTCAAAGGAGTAGAATTGCTGAATCATATAGTCATATATTTAACTTTTTGAGGAACCTCTAAAGTGTTTTGCCAAAACAGCAACACCGTTTTACATTCCCACCAGCAATGCACAAAGATTCCAATTTTCTGTTTTTTTTTTTTTAGTTATAACATTCCTGGTTGGTGCAAAATGGCATCTCATGGCTTTGACTTGCATTTCCCTAATAGCCAATGATGTTGAGCATCTTTTTATGTGCTTATTGGCCATTTGTATATCTTTGGAGAAATGTCTATTCAAGTCCTTTGCCCATTTTTAAATTAGGTTGTTCTTCTTTCTGTTGTTGAGTTGGAAAAGTTCTTTATATATATTCTGGTTTTGTTTGTTTGTTTGTTTTTTAGAGACAGGGTCTTGCTGTGTTCTGGTCTCTGACTCCTGGCATCAGGGGATCCTCCCTCCTCAGCCTCCCAAGCCTGAGTAGTTGGGACTATAGGCACAAGCTACTGCACCCAGCTATATATTCTGAATACTAGAATCTTATTAGAATAAATGATTTTCTCCCATTCCATAAATTATTTTTTCCTCTCTTGATGGTGTCTTTTTGATGCACAAAATTTTTAATTTTAATGAAGTACAATTTACCTATTTTTTTCTTGTGTTGCCTGCTTTGCTGTTTAAGAAACAAACCATTGCCAAATCTAAGATCATAAAGATTTGCCCCCATGTTTTCTTCTAAGAATTTTGTAATTTCTAAAAATTTTTTTTGTGAAGCTATCCTTCAAATATAATTTCTAAATTTCGATCTTTGATCCATTTTGGGTTAATTTTTGTATACAGTATAATGTAAGGGCCCAACTTCATTCAAAAGATATTCATGTGGATATCCAGTTTTCCCAGCACCATTTGTTAAAGAGACTGTTCTTCACGCATTGGATGGTCTTGGCACGCATATCAGAAATCAACTGGCCACTCATTCACATTCATCAGTGTGAAGATTTATTTCTAGGCTCTCAATTCTATTCCACTGTTCTATATGTCTACCTTTATGCCCGTACCATACTGTTGTGATTATTATAGTTTCGTAGTAAATTTTGAAATCAGGAAATGTGAGTCCTCCAACTTTGTTCTTTCTTAAGTCTGTATTGACTATTGTGGGTCCCATGAAATTCCTTGTGAATTTGAGGGAATTCATTTCTGCAAAAAACACCATTGGGATGGTGATAGAGATTGCATTGAATATGTGTAATTCTTTGGGTAGTATTGTTATCTAAACAATATTAAGTCCTTCAGTCCATGCACACAGGATATATTTCCATTTATTTAGTTCCTCTTTAATTTCTTTTAGGAAATTTTGTTGTTTTCGGTGTACAAGACTTGCACCTCATTGCTTAAATCTGTCCCTAAATGTTTTGTTCTTTTAGATGCTTTTGTAAGTGGAATTGTTTTCTTGACTACCTTTTCAGAGTATTCACTGCCAGTGCATAGAAACTCAACTGCTTGTGTGTTGGTTTTGTATTCTTCAGCTTTGCTGATCTCATTTATTAGCACTAACAGTTGTTTTTGCTTTAGGAAACTAGAGTTTTGTGGATATATGATCATGCTATGTGCAAATAGAAGTGGTTTTACTTCTTTCTTTCCAGTTTGGATGTCGTCTATTTCTTTTTCTTGACTGATTTCTCTGGCTAGTACTTCCAATACTGTATTGAATAGAAGTGGCAAGATTGGGCATCCTTGCCTTCTTCCTGATCTTAGGGGAAAGTCTTTCAGTTGGCCTCATCCAGTCAGTTGAACACCTTACTACAAGAAATATTGAAGTTTCTCAAAAAAGGAATTCTCAAGACTGCAACATAGAAACTCTACCTGTGTCTCCAACCTGACCAGTGAGCCAATTCCTTAAAATCTCTCTCTCTCTCTCTCTCTCTTTCTATACACACACACACACACACACACACACACACACACACACACACACACATGGTCCCTGACTTGGATAGTTGAACTTAATGATTTTTTGACTGCGTAATGGTGATTTCAGCTGTGTA